CCATATCTCAGCATCAGACATGGAGGTACTCAAAACAACACTTAAAGTATAGGATTTCGACCTTTGAAAACACGGTGTCGATGTTCTGCTTAACATTTTCTCGTCTCGGATTTTCTTAAACAGTTCCATTTTACTTCTTGATAAGTGGTTATATACAGCTAGAAGGCCGCAAAAAACTGTATATAACCTGAGAAAACTTTTAAATTTATTGATCCAAAAATTTATACACATATTATGGTATATGAAATTATTTAAACTGGATCCTCTGAAATTAAAAAAACCAAACAAATTTCGTTAAAGTAATGTTAAATCTAGTAATTAATCGAGGAAATAAGCAAAATAAAATTTTTTGTCAAAATGGCGGTTTCTCAAAAAAAAAATCGATTTTTCACGCTAAATTTCGGCTTCAAATTGTTTATAAAAACAATAATATTTATCGGAGAGAAAAAATATTCGATTAATTATTAAAAAATATATTATATATAAGAAGCTCGTGTTAAAATTTGAGACTAATCGGTTTAGCATTTTTTGAGTAATGTTGGTCACCGACTTTGAAAACACCATTCTGAGAAAAACGAGTTTAAAGTTTGGAATGCACTTAACATGGGATAAAAAACGATTTTCAAATTTGCGTGTAACTTCGAAAATATTGATTGGAACGATATGAAATTTTCTCTGTGTATTCCTAAATATATGTACATAAAGGAAATAAAATAAAAACCGATTTTTTTTAATTCTAACTGTATGTAACCTCATAATAGCACTTGCATGTCAGCCAGAATTTGATAAGCCACCTCATGTTGCTAACAACATTTTCTCCAAACGTCTCAAATATTCCAGTTCTTCCATTAATTGCTATTAATTTTTTCAAAGCATCGTCTAATTTAGTTGTCGGCTCTGCTTCTTTTTGTTCTTTAGAAGAAGATAGCGCTTTTTCAATACTTTGCTTAATAAAGGATGATTTCGAAAGTGATATTTCGTTTGCGCCAGAGCTCATATGTTCTTCCTTTTCCGGAAATTTTTAAAATACACACAACTATTATTAAATTGAAAATTTTGTACTACTTTTTTCAAATGACCACTACGAAATGCGAATGGCAGCTAATGCTGATAATATTGAAAGCTTGTGGCAATTCCCTCATACGTTGGATACAATCGATGCACGCACAGGCTCCCAATTTTATAATTTTAAAGGATATTTTAGCGTTGTCCTGTTTGCTGTTGTTTACGCACAAAGCAAGACCTTTTACATATGTAAGTATAAGTAAATCATCAGACAACAGTATTTATAGTGACAGCTACTTGTACCAGGCTCTTGGGAGTGGCACTTTAAATATACCACAACCTCTAAAGCTTGTTGTCGGGGAGGGAAATAAAATTCAAAATTTTTTTATTGGCGATGATGCTTTCACTTTGGACAGGCACTTAAGGAAGCCGTATAACCGAAGCTTGAAATTAAGTGTTCCATCAGAAATTTTTAATTACTGGCAACATAGCGCAAGGATGACAATCAAATGAGCTTTTGGCTGATTGTGCAATAGGTTCAGAATACAGACCCATTGATGTGCAACCTAAACCTGTGGGTGCTGTGCTAAAGGCTTGTTGTGTCCTACAAAACTATTTAACACCACTGAGTGCGTTATAAAAGTACCACAATCAGATGAAAATTTATTTGTTTTGATCATTTTCAGCAATTTGTGTTCAAAATCATAAAATATTAATTTTTTTCTTAATTATACTCACCTGGTTTAAATGTTCAACAGCTTGCCGACAATTAAGAGATGAGGCTTTAAAATAGCGTCCCAGGATTTCGAGGATAAAATGGGTATGGGAGGATAAAGGAGGTCGTCCCGATCAATAATATATATAGGTATAGCCGCGGGAAACTTATAGTTTTCGATATATCTGCGTTAAAGTTGAAAATTTCAACTATTTGAAGTAAGTATTTTTTCGATTTGAAATGATTTTTACACTTACATTTTTCTTTTTTATATCGGTAAATGTATAGTTTAGGTCTCCCAATGAAGGAGGCCGCGAAAATTATAATTTTTTTTAAATCGTCTTATTTTGATGCGTAGATGAGCGTGCATTTTTTCAATAATTTATGTATACTTTTATATAAAAATGTATTTAACACACTTTGCACATATTTTTCAAGTAACTTAGTTTTTGTTTTTGTTGTTGTAGCAGCAGAATTCTGTAAAGTTCAGATCACTTAGCTGTAATTACACGATCAACGAGTTAGACATTTTATTGTAAAAAAAAAACGTTGAAGATACATGTAACAGTCACAATTTCTCTATCCGCCACTTCCTCCACAGACATTTTCATATAAGCCGCAATAGATTAATAAGCTTTCATTTTTATATCATAATCATTCATATCACAAATGTGATTAGTTGTTGATGCTAGAAACAGTCACCGACGCAAAGCTGTAAACTGAATCAGCTGATATCGACCTCACTACCACTTCTACCGTCCGCTTCCATGGATGACGTGATACGAACAGAGAACAAAAAGGCAACTGTCAAAGTTCAGGATGTCTGACGTTTAGCAATTAGAAAAAGAGATTTCTAAGATTGAAATCCTACAGAAAAATATATGAACAGAGAGATTTGTTGCTGCTGTTGAAGATCACTAACAAAAATAGGAAAACAATGAATATGAAAGAAAACGCGAAATTGAAATGTATACAATGAAATTTTTGGTGATGTCATGCTTAGTAGTATTAATTTTTAATTGAAAATTATAAGAAGCATTTATTAATTGGAGCTAGTACATATGTACATATATCCTTTTGATTAAGTATTGAAAGTTCAAAAATAAATTGTTTTAATATATAACGGATACATGTATAATAATATCTAATCTTTATAAACGGTGGGTATATTAATTTCAATTCCCAAAAATTATTATTTTGTCCGATCTGTTTACAATGGAAAAAAAACGCTAATTTTGAGGAGCTCTCACAGTGGAAAAAGTTGGGCATCCCATTATCCCTGATACGAAACTCTTTGATTCGAGAGAGAGAGCTGTCAAATTCACTTTTTTTATAACATTTGTCAATCATGCCACTATCGAGAGAAAATTGATAGGGTATTTTAAAAATAACTTTTGGGCATTTTGCATTTCGATTTATTATTTTAAGGTCCTCGTTATACGCAAATACAGCCCTAATTACGTGAATTCATATTATAAAGCAATTAAAAGTCATATAACATAATAAACTAATACATAAATAAAAAAACCATATCAAAGAAATAATAAAACTCATAATAAAATATTATGATTTTATGACTAACGTTTTAAATGCAACAATTTCGAATTTATAACAAATTATAGTAAACAAACTTTAGCTGCACGCTATTCCCAAGTGTATGTGTCGTTCCTTGAACTTTCGTTTCGCACTGCTTTTGTTAGCTAATTTTAGCGGGTTTATTTCTGGCATCCCGCCTTTTTCGATATCAGTGGTTCAAAATTCCCAAATATTGATAATCAGGGAAAGAGAATGAGAAAAAACTTAAGGAAAATGAGAGAGTCTCGTATCAGAGAACGTAAACGAATAGAGAAGGAGCAAATGTTAGCTGTACTAAAATGTTAATTAGGATGAGGGAACATCGAAAACGCGCAAGTTCGAAAATAAAATTTCACCATCCTCTCAATTTACGCAACGAACTACACCACTCTGTAAGCAAAATGTATATACATACATATGCACAGATGTTAATTGGTATGCGCATAAACAAAAATTGAAATAATAAAAACGAAAGAAATTGACTTCTGACAGGAAAATATTAATAGTGAGGGAAATAATATGAAAATATAATTAAAATATCATTCAATAAAAAAGGGTTATAAAAATAATAAAATAGTATATAAAAATATGATAGGATTTGAACTTAGGCAAAATATTTCATTGCAATAATTGAGTGTGCTATACAAGCAGCACCACAGACGATATTCAAGCGATTTTGTCTAATCTGTGAACTCAAACAACTATTGTTGTTTACTTGCTTCAAATGTTCATATGCCTATATGAATATTCTTGAAATTGCCTTCCTTCATTCGCATGTCCAAATATATTTGCATATATGTATACATATTGTGACGAACACGGATGATAGAACAAAATCGAATCAACAATAAACTGCTAGAAGCAACTAGTTAGCGAATTCGTAGTGCCGTTTCACATTGGGATTCAAAAGAGTCTGATGTTTTTCAAATTTTCTTTTGGTGTCGCTCTGGGCATTCACACGGTCAAAAAGAGTCCAAGTCGAGTCTAGTTTTTCTGCATTCCTTTTCACAAAATTTTCGTAAATATTAGTGCGGTTCGACTGCGCAACACTGCGTGCTGCGTATTTCATTTGTATGTTGAGATGATGGTCACACATTTTGCTTGCAATGCATTACCATGAATATGGTAGAACAATATGCATAATACAAGTACCTACCCGCTAAATAGTTTCAAAGAAATACTAAAGACGGGAATTCCCTAATCCACAAGAATGTATTGAATATCCGCTACTAATATTTTCAAGGCCAAATTTATAATAGGAATTTCCTAATCTTTAAGTATTAAAAACTCATAATTTCTTTACTCCGTATTAAAAATTCATAATTTCTTTACTCCATAATCTATATCTTAATTTTCTCCTTATTTACAATTTGTCATAATATTTCTATTATTCTATGCATACGTATTTGCATATTACATACAAAAATAGATAACAGAACTCAAATTTGCGATCGAATTCATTTGAAACCGAGCGCTCTTGCAACCATTCAAAGAATTTGAAAGTGAAAAGGAATGCTGAAAAGGGTAGCAGCGAGCTGTTACGAACAAGAATACAAAGCGTGCCACCCGAACACGAGTGGGACGGTCCCTTCGTCTTTCCTCGTCGTCCCCTCGCCCACAATAAACTGGTATGAGACTCTTTTGAGTCCCTGTGTGAAACGGCACGTAGTTGCCAGAAACAATGTTTTGTTAAGCGGCCTTTACACGGTCATTTATGTTTGCAAACATGGTATGATGCAAAAAAAACTGGTTTTCGTTTAAACGGTCGAACATGCAATCATACTTTATTTCTCTGTTATTTGTGGACGAAGCAACATGGGACGTGCATTAGTTGCAGCACTTCTAATTGATATTTTAGAAGAAGACGAAGTAGAACAAAAAAAGCAAAAAAGACAGAGAAAAACTTGGGTAAAGTAATGGCGATCAAGAAGACCAGTTTTTTCACATATAACTTTCTTAAAGGAACTTGAACAGTCCAGCCCGGCGGACTACAAAAATTTTCTCAGAATGGATCCTTCTGTATATAGGGAACTTTTGGAAAAAGTAACACCTTATATAGAAAAAAAAAATACTATTATGCGAGACGCAATTTCGCCTGATGAACGTCTCTCTGTAACATTGAGGTATTTGGCAACTGGAGAGAGCTACGAAAGTTTGAAATTCCAGTCGTATATTTCAACTGCAAGTTTAAGCAACATAATTATTAAGACATATGAAACGTTGATTAAAGTTCTTAAAGATTTAATTTTAGTAAGTATATATATTACATGAAAATGGAAAACAAAACAAAAATAAAATATTTCTTCAAATCAATAAAAATAACAAAAATAAAAGTTTGCTTATGAATAGTCAGAGTCGTTCAACAAGTCCGTAAATGTCTGATATTCCGTGTTGTTTCCATATTGTTGAATATTTATGGTTTTCTGTGGTTGTATGTTGGAACTGGAAATTTGTTGATATTGCTGTGGCTGAACTGTTCTATGAAGTCTGATGTGCTGAACTTGAGGTTGAGGAGCAGATATAATTTGCGGTGAACTCAGAAGAGGGGGAGAAATTAAGTATTCCGGACGACTTTGCAATGTTCTTGAATCAAAACATGTTGACGAGTTTTCACTATAAGAAAAAGGCGTTGATGCGCATCTTGTGTTAGGTACGTTGAACATCTGATGGGAATTTTCGTGCAACCGACACAAAGCTCCTTGGTACAACACTTCCATAATGGTTTTATTGGCAAATAATTGTTGATTAGGGTCAAGTTTCCTGAAGAGGACTTCCCAAGTCGAACTGAAGGTACTTGCATCGTCATTGGGCCGCGTCGAATCTTCTAAAGCTTTGACTGCTTTAATAAGCAACTGTTGTTTTTCTTTTTTACCAAATTCTACTTTGTCTTTTTTTGAGCAAAGTGCATTCTAAAAATAATAAATAAAAATAAAAACTATTATTTTTCCAGTTGCCGAAAAGGGAAGAAGAATGGAAAACGATAGCTTCTAAATTTTATGAACTGTGGAATTTCCCGAATTGCCTTGGCGCTGTCGATGGAAAACATGTAAACATTACGAAACCACCGCACTCTGGAGCATACTATTTCAACTATAAGAAGACTTACAGTATTGTTTTGATGGCCATAGTCAATGCAAAATATCAATTTATAATGGTGGAGGCTGGAGCAAACGGAAGAGTTTCCGCTGGTGGCGTTTTCGGAAATACGAAAACAATATAACTATCGTCTGTCACGGGCAAGAAGGGTTGTAGAAAACGCGTTTGGAATTATATCTTCCAGATTCAGAATACTGCTCACTACAATACATTTATCTTCCGAAAAGGCAACGAAAATTGTTTTAGCAATTTGCTATTTACACAACTTCTTAAGCACAAAAAGCAGTGAATGTTATCTCCGAATGATAAATGATGTAGGTGAAAAGTCGGTACCTGCTTTGATGCAAATAGAAAAAACCACAAGTCGGAAGAGTACTACCAACGCCAAGGAAATTCGAAACTCATTTTGTGAATACTTTAATGGTGTCGGATCAATGTAATTTTGCATTTCGTTTTATAAATAAAAATATATGCATAAATAAATAAAAATGTCCTGTTCGTTTTACTTACGTCTTCCACAGTCGTGTCCCCGTTTTCTATTGATGACATGCCAGTCATCTGTGTTTCTTGCTCTTCCAAGAATCCTAGGTCATCAGAGTACCACAAAGATGGTACATATATTTCATCAACTCCTGCTCCAGACTTCTCACTTCGCTTTATTGTTTTAAGTTCACGTCGATAACATCCACGAAGTGAGCTTATTTTATATTTTAAACTTTCCAAATTTGCATTTGGATCTATCTCCTTATATTATATTTTTGTAGGAGTGCTTCATAAGCAGCATTCTTCTTAGTTTTGTTTTTATACTCCTCGCTTTTAACTTTCCATACTTCTGGATGGCTTCGATAAATTTCAGAGAAGTCCTTCCACAGTTCTTCGTTTATCCTGGACGCCATTACGCTTCGATGTTTGCTTACGACTGGAAAAATATACTGCGTGCATTAGCCCTTTTAAACAAATACTCTTTTGAATCCCAAAAATATGGAGTAAAGAAATTATGAATTTTCGATACATAAATATTAGGAAAATCCTGTTATAAATTTGGCCTTGAAAGTATTAGTAGCGGATATTCAATACAATCTGGTGGATTAGGGAGCTCCCGTCTTAAGTATTTCTTTGAAAATATTAAGCAGGTAGGTATTATGCATATTGTTCTACCACATTCATGCTAATTCATTGCAAGCAAAATGTGGGACCACCATCCCAACATACAAATGAAATATTCAACATACTCTAAGTGTTGCGCATTCGAACGGCACAAACATTTCCGAAAATTTTGTGAAAAGGAATGCAGAAAAACTATACTCGAGTCGCTGGACTCTTTTTGCTATTGTGTTCATAACAACATCATGTTTTTAAAAATGTATAAAAACCATCGCACTTGTATGACGAACACGAATTTATTATGTTTACACGCTCATTCTTCTCATCACGCCGCACATGCTTGCAAACATGAATGACTGTGTAAAGGCCGCTTTACAGATTTACTATATAAGGGCTGCCGGATTGTGCAGCAAACACAGCTCTAGTTAGAGTGTTGTCGTGATAAGAACAATTGAGACATAAGCAAGAAGTTGTAAGCTCGAATGACGAGCAATAAGTGTTAAGTTGTTGGAATTAGAAATAAAGATAAGTGTGTTGCCATTAAATTGGGACTTTTATTTAACAATCCAGTGATCGAACTCAAGAGTGTGTTACAGGTAGGCGATTTATCGAGGAATCCGTTACAATTGGTGTCAGAAGTGGGATTGACAAATAAATTCCCAAAGAGAGAATTGTTTGAAAATGGCCAAGTTTAACGATCTGAAGATTCATCAACTGAAAAAGGAGCTGCAAAAACGTGGATTGGCAACAAAGGGAGTAAAGTCCAAATTACAGTCGCGGTTAAGAAGAGCCATGGAAGCAAAGAACATTAATGTTGAGGAATATGTCTTTCAATCGGAACTAGAGGAAGAGAAAACAAAGAAACAAGAGAAGGAAGCGTGTGTACCAGTACAAGGGTCCTTACAGTCGAAAGAGCTGGACGTGCGTATGTCAGCGCAGGTGTCCTCGCAGTTGGAAGAGGAGAAAGCATGCGAACCAGTAAATGGGTCCTCACAGTCAGAAGAGCAAGAAGCTTGTATACCAGCACAAGCGTCCTTACTGTTGGAAGAGCAAGAAGCGTGTATACCAGAACAGGTCTCCTCACAGGTGGAAGAGCAGGATAAAATTAAACCTGAAACGGATGACTCTTTGGAAAAAGGTCCAGAATTTTCAGTAGAGGTTATTTATACTGCGTTGGAATCCTTCTTTGAGAGTTTTTCAGCACAGTTGTCAGCACCAAAAGAGCTCGACGAGCATATGTCAGCGCAGGTGTCCTCACAGTCGGAAGAGGAGGAAGCGTGTGTACCAGTACAAGGTTCCTCACAGTTAGAAAAGCAAGAAGCCTGGATACCAGCACAAGTGTCCTTACAGTTGGAAGAGCAGGAAGCGTGTACACCATCACAGGTGGAAGACCAGCATAAAATTGAACCTGCAACGGATGACTCTGTGCAAGAAGATCCAGAATTGGAAGGTGCATTACATAAGGTGGAGTTGAACCAATGTACAACGATTGGAGAAATAACTACAGGAAGGCCAGTCACAAAATCATATTGGGCAGAACGGAGCAGTTTAAAGTTAGTGTATGGCTGCTTGCATCGAGTATGGAAAAGCGAAAATGGGCAAACCTTCCGAGTACTTATGGTTGTTCCAAGGGTTGGAATTCCTGATGTTCTTAACGTTCAGTACAAATGTCCAAGAGGAGGACACTTGAGAGACATGAAATCCTTGGAGCATTTGAAGCAAAGGTTTTATTGGACTGGTTGACTCCTGGATCAAGGTCCAGGAGTCATGAGCAGATGAAACAGCACAATTCGCGTGCGTCAGTTGAGAAAATAGGCGTATATGAAGATGGTCCATTCCCCATCAATAAATTAGGAAATAGTCATGTTTTGGTAGTCAAGGACCATTTCAATGAATGGCCACAAGTATACACAATTCCTAACCAAGAGACTAAACCAGTGGCGTAGGCATTCATCAACAAGTGGGTAACGAGATTCGGTGTTCCAATGGAGTTACGTTCTGATCAAGAATGGTATCTAGAGTCAGCTTTAAATCAAGGGATGCACCAGAAACTGAGTATCCGGAAAACGGCTGGAATCAACTCCAAGAAGAGAAGGACGGCTAACGATGTCAGCACCAGCCTAGAAGACGAAATGGGGGACATAAAAGCTTTGTGTTTGGTATCACAAATATGTCTAATCGGGACGATCAGACTTAGGTTGAGGGCAGTGTGACGAACACGGATGATAGAACACAATCGAATCAACGATAAACTGCCAGAAGCAACTAGTTAGCGAATTCGTAGTTGCCAGAATGTTCTAGAAGCAATGTTTTGTTACAGATTTACTATATAAGGGCTGCCGGATTGTGCAGCAAACACAGTTCTAGTTAGAGTGTTGTCGTGATAAGAACAATTGAGACATAAGCAAGAAGTTGTAAGCTCGAATGACGAGCAATAAGTGTTAAGTTGTTGGAATTAAAAATAAAGATAAGTGTGTAGCCATTAAATTGGGACTTTTATTTGACAATCCAGTGATCGAACTCAAGAGTGAGTTACAGGTAGACGAGTTATCGAGGAATCCGTTACAATATGTACATATTGTAGCGATCACGAGTACCAGATCATATCAGAGCTAACGATAAACTGCCAGAAGCAACTAGACAGCGAATTCGTAGTTGCCATAATGTTTTAGTAGCGAACTTTTGTTAAAAATTTACTATATAAGGGCTGCCGAATTGTGGAGCAGACACAGTTCTAATTAGAGTGTTGCCGTGTAAAGAGCAATTAAGCTTTAAGCAATAAGTTATAAGTTTGAATAGCGAGCAATAAGTGTTAAGTTGTTGGAATTGGAAATAAAGATAAGTGTATAGCATTAAATTGGGACTTTAATTTAACAATCCAGTGATCGAGCTCAAGAGTGAGTTATAGTTAGACGATTTATCGAGGAATCCGTTACAATTGGTGTCAGAAGTGGGATTGTCAAATAAATTCCTAAGGAGATAATTATTTGAAAATGGCCAAGTTTAACGATCTGAAGATTCCACAACTGAAAAAGGAGCTGGAGCAACGGGGTTTGGCGACAAATTGATTAAAAACTGAATTGCAATCACGGTTGAGAGAGGCCATGGAGGCGGAAAAAATTAATGTGAAGGAATATGTCTTTCACATGGAATTAAAAAAAAGACAACAAAGATAGAAGAAAAGGAAGAGGGTCAATGCTCGTCAAAGATTGTGGACATAAACATGGTTTTTGCCGCAATATCGCAAATGTCAACGCAAATATCGACACAAATTAATGAGCAGAAAACACAAATATCGACACTAATTAAAGAGCAGGAAACACAAATGTCGACACAATTTAAAGAACAGGATACTCGTATGTCTCAAATGGAAACGCGATTGTCAACGTATTTGGAAGAGCAGTTCGCAGCGCAAGATGCACGTATATCAGCACAGGTGTCCTCACAGAGCAGGATGCACGGATATGGCAGGTGAACTCCCAAATAGCAGAAGTGTCCTCACAGATTTCGGAAGAGCGGGATAAAATTAAAACTGAAGTAAATGAATTGAGAGATCGTCTCCGTGAGCTACAATTAAGGTTAGTTCACTTAGCTTATGCACATAAATCCATGGATTACATCGAGGACACGAAAATTCAGACTGTCATCAATGGAATACAAGATAATACTACACGATTCGCTGCATTAGCATGTCCAAAATTGACGTTTGCAGAAACCGTGTCGTATGCTCTGACACAGGAAACTGCATCTCAGCTTTGCAATCAAACATTTAAAGCTCACAAAGTAGAAATAGAGAAACACACTTGGAACCAATTACTTGAAAAAAAGGACAACATGCAGAAAGCACTGGAAAAATCTACGGAAGCGTATAAGAAAAATGATGGTGTGTTTAAATGCTTCAACTGCGGAAAAAGTGGCCATATTGCACGCAACTGTAACCAGCCCCATAATCCGGTTGGACGAACACGCAAAGCTGAGGAAGGTAAGGACAATCTCAAATACAACCAATCGTTAAACTTAAGCGAGCCAGCCGAAAAGGGCACGGGATGGCTCCCGCAAGCAAATGCCCTGTAATCTCCATTTCACAAATAAGCAGGAATACGAGTAACGTTACTGTTAGTGGATGTGTAGACGGTAAAAAGCGCATACTGACTGTGGATACGGGCGCATCACATTCCATAATTCGATCTGATCTAGTTGAGAAAGAAGTGAGACCGTTAGCTGGGGTAAAGTTGCGTACTGCAGCTGGAGACCCTAGTTCTCGGAAAGATAACGTGCGAAATCGTAATTGGAAAGGCAGCCGTGTTACACAATTTTATAGTGGCAGATATCGTTGACGAAGTCATAATTGGAGTAGACTTTTTAGCGAATCAAGGAATCAAAATTGACATGAAAAACAGGATTATGTTCTATAGAAATATGGAAGTGCCACTTATGTTCGGTTACGATAATAAGTACAACGTCAGGCGAGTGATAACAACAGAGAGCCAACAGATTCCACCAACATCAGAAGCAGTTATTTGGGCAGAAATAGATGGAGACTATGGGCCAAAAAGTGGTGGATTGTTGAGGCACAAAAGAATTCTACATAACTTACTTATAGGCAAAACCTGGTATGACAAGACAAAATAAACGCGTTCCAGTAAGAGTACTTAATGAGTGTGTTACAATCAAACTTCCAAAGGAGCTGTATTAGGGCAGTGTGGATTGAGGCCGTAATAAATTCTGAAATAGGTCTTGAGGAAAATTTATGGACGAAAACGATATATCGAGCGAAATTAACGCATGGACCGAGGAACTAGAGGCAACTATCAA